TCTATCTTTACTCCCTTTCGGCTATCTTCGCTAAACCATTGCGTTACAATACTAGTACTTTACTTGCTCACCTCTGATATTGGCGGTAGCCTGACTTGCGGGACCCCAACACTTGTACTAAGGAGAAGATTACTCATTGAGAATATTTTCCGATCATTTATATACCTAAACATCGGAACACGCAAACTCTAAAGTTTTCTTTTTTACACGAACCGAAAAGCAGTGTTTTTCTTCGGTGGTAAAAGTTTGGAAATTCTGTTTTCTTGATCAGCACATGAGCCAATATAAACGTCTACATCTGAATTAATGCGTTTGGTAGAAACACACGCTTTATGCTTAAATGGGCAGACAGAGTTGCTTTAGAATAAGGGTTTTCTGATAACAATTCGTACCAAGCTTGTCTCGAATTTCTTCTCGAAAAAACTCTCCAACACTTCGATGTTTTGCATCTATCCGGCAAAATACCTGTAAACATTGTTGCTCATTAAAATGCTTCTGTTTTAAGTTTTGTTTCTCGCACCTGGTCAATCAGCCATCCAAACGTTATTGGATGATAGGCAATTTGGGATCCTGGGGGATGTTTTGGAGACTCTTCTTCTATTATTTTTGAAATTTTCGCTTTGTCTTTAGCATCGTCAAGTGTGATATCTTCGTCAAAGTATGGCAACCCAGCCTTTAATTGGCTGGTGAAAAATGGCTTGGCTTTCTAATCGCAACCCCATATTCAAAGAAATCATACTAGAGGAGAGTCAAGTGGTGAACGAGATAATTCTATAAGAAATAACTGTAACTCGAAGAAAAATGACCAAATCTTGTTTACCGTAGGAAGAGTTCACCCCGTCTCTTTCAAATTTTACTCTATTTTTTTTCTTGTCTTTGTTAGTGTGGAAGCATGCAACCAAACTTACTTGATGAGTAAGGATCATATCAATAGTTATTTCCTCCTTGCCATTCTTTCCAAATTCTGGCCAAAAGCGAGTGACTTTATCCGAATAAGAACATTCCCCTCTGTACACTTTCATCGCCACACAAATTGCTGCTAAGCTCTGCATCGGTTTTTTTCAGTTTGCAAAACAAATCTAACTGCTGC